CAGTGAGTATGTTGGTATATTCTCAATGTCTCACAGTGAGTATGTTGTTATGTTCTCAATGTGTCACAGTGAGTATTTTGGTATATTCTCAATGCCTCACAGTGAGTGTGTTGGTATATTCTCACTGTCTCACAGTGAGTATGTTGGTATATTCTCAATGTCTCACAGTATTTCGGTATATTCTCAATGTCTCACAGTATGTTGGTATATTCTCAATGTCTCACAGTGAGTATATGTATATTTACAAGAGAAATGCTCATGATATCATCACTGTATTGAAGCATGTGAGCTGAGGGCATAAGGACAAGATACTCCATCTTAACACAGATCACTTGAAGTATGTTACTCTGTGTTCAAAAATAGCATAATGACAGCCCAGACATTGATGTTTGTTTGGATATACTATTTGTACATAATAGCCAGCTGTAAAGAATGTATTTGGATTGTTCAATAGCACATTTCTTACGTTACAAGGAATAACATAGGCATTGCCACATCTGGTGATATGCCCTGCTGGAGGCAAAACCTACATTAAGCTCTCTATGGCTATTGTCATGAAATTAGAATCAACATCATGCAATGAGTGACCTGTTTCTCTGTGTTTTGTCCTCTTGTTCCCTTACAGTTACCTCAGAGAGAGATATTGCTTGTATACTCCAGTTATGATAGACTGCGGCCAAAGCCAATCTAGTCAGAAAGTTGATTCCTCCTGGGGCTATCTGAAGTGGGAATCTCTCCAGGTCCATGCTTCCCTTCCTCCCCCTCTTAATAAACCTCATGCATGAAAGGACCACCAAAACCTAAATGCAGGGAGAGTAAACAAAGTGAATTCTCAATCAAAAGATACCGCAATATGGCCTTTCCAGCTAATAAAATGGGGAAAATGATCTGTGGAAGTACACAGTCTTAATGACAAATTATTATACACCTCACTTGCAGTGGGTTAAAATAATGAAATAATGTATTTAGCTTGTACAATGTTGTTCTCATGGTAAAAGACCATAAAAATAAGGGCAAGGGATGTGCAATAGGCTCTAAAATAGGTTATACTTCAACTGAATCACACCCAGTAGCAGCTTATACACTGCAGGCTTTTTGCTATCCATGCTGTAAAGTTGCTGACTTTACTGAATCTTAGGTTATTGATGTTTCACAGAGCATGTGCAAATCACTGCTGTTGATTGGAAGTTACACTGACTGGATAGAGGAGAGTCCAGGCTAGGGGTGAGTCTCCACATCAAGGAATATATGTAAGTAGCAGAATACAAGTGATGGTGGGATAATAGGACAAGAACGTAGTCTAAAGCAAGTATCTTGTTTACACTGAGAAGGAGGGTTATAGAGCTGAGGGCTGTAAGACCTCCCCCCCCCCCAAAAGATTGGAAAGAATGTGAGAGGAGGGATCTAATAATGCGGTAATTTGGTGATGGTTAGCTTGGGCTTTACTTACAGAGGAAGTGATCAAAGAATGTTTATGACCATTATGCTTTGAGATAATCTACAATTTTGCGTTTGGTTCACTGCTTGTATGCTTTCCAGTTGAAAATGCATTTCTTACAGACAGTCTGGGTTACAGTGTCTCCAGAAATAGAAACTGCAGCAGTGAACTGCTGTGAGTCATGCCATGGATTTATACATTGGACCGTCTTTAAGCCCCGCAATGCAGATTGGTTTGGAGTCTGGCCAGTGGTAGGGTACCTATTTTACAGGCCTAGCTTTGATCCTGCCTCAGTTCAAACGTTAACTATTACGTCCTGAATGTAACACTTTTAAAAAAGTTTAGTATTTTCTCTTTGCAAAGTGCGGGACACTTTTCACCTGATATAGACATGGCGATGGGGGTTAAATGAAGCAGTGTGGGAGGAGCCTTGTGTGGAGCAATGAGGCTACGTTGTTTCTTCCTCTGCTGTTAATTCTATAACAAGAAAGAGAATTTAGTATTTAGAGAATTAAGTTTAATGAAACTCAGATATTGATTTAGCAAACAGATTGTGTAATACAGTGCAACATAATATGGCAAATGATAACATAATGCATTATTAAGTGATAATGTAATAAATGTAGTGTAATATATTAAAATATTTTAACATAATATAAAGTAAGAGTGATAGGAGCTTTATCATAGGAACAGCACCACATCTATTAATGGGAGCAGATTATAATATCCCCCAAGACACTGTGATGAAATCATAGCATTGATAATAGAGACCTGATCTATTCAACATTCCCCATCTTTGCTTCTATTACATTATGACAGTGAAGTACACTGTAATATTACACTGCAACATATTATGATAATCTGCTTTACAATAGGGTGAAAGGGTAAGTCTCCGAATGCTTAAGTCCCAGCAGGGAGCTGCATTCAAAAGGACCACAGCTCTGGAATCAGATTACAATGCAGTCAAGCTGATTGGAGAATTTATCCCAGCAAATCCTCAAGTCAGGCAACATTCAAGGTGGCACGATGGCTCAGTGGTTAGCACTACTGCCTCACCGTGCCACGGTCCTGAATTTGATTCCAGCCCCGAGCTGCTGTGTGGAGTTTGCACATTCACCCCGTATCTGTGTGGGTTTCCTCCGGTTTCCTCCCACAGTCCAAAGATTATAGAATCCCTACAGTGTGGAAACAGGCCCTTCCACCCAACAAGTCCACACTGACCCTCGGAGCATCCCACCCAGACCCACCCCACTAACCTCCACATCCCTGAACACTCTGGGTAATTTAGCATGGCCAATCCATCTAGCTTGCACATCTTTGGACTGGGAGGAAACCAGAGCACCCGGAGGAAACCCACGCAGACACGGGGAGAATGTGCAAACTTTGCACAGACAGGCGCCCGAGGCTGGAATCGAACTCTGGTCCCTGGTGCTGTGAGGCAGCAGTGCTAACCACTGAGCCACCGTGCCACCCAAATGTGCAGGTTAGGTGGATTAGCCATGCTAAATTGACCCGTAGTGTCAAGGGATTTGTAGGTTGGTTGGATTAGCCATAGGGAATGCAGGGTTACAAGGATAGGGTAGGGGGTGGGTCTGCAATAGGATGCTCTTTGGAGGGTTAGTGTGGACCCATTGGGCCAAATGGCCTTCTCCCATACTGTAGGGATTCCATGATTGTACCTTGATTTGGACATTGATCACCATTCCTTTATAGTCACCATCCTGTTTTGGGACCAGTTAGATATATTGGAATTCCCTTTGTATCGTCACAGACTGTGCATGAATGAGAAGGCTCACTGCCATCTGTGAGGGCTGGTAGGAATGGGCAGAGATACCTGCCTCGCCCATGATACCTTTATCCTAAAAAGGAAATAATCAAAGAAAAAATGCCGTGGATAAATAAACAGCCAGACAGTGTTGTCGTCCCATTACAGAGCTATGTTCCATCAAATTTTAAAATGAGGAAACTTACCCTCCCACCATGTTATTTATAATAAATAGTAGTCTAATATTGCAATGAGGTTGAATTTTTCTGTGGAGCTGGAGAACCCATTGTTGGGCATGACAGTGGGGACTGAACCAAATTCAGTGGATACCAGGATCCTGAAGTGGCACTTTGCCAGTGCCAGCTAATTAACCAGTAGTAGTATAGCCCAGGCTGCATCAGCAGGGAGAGGGTGTCTCAATGGGCAGTTGGTGCACTTGAAGAGAGGGTGGCTTCTTTGGAGAGGTCAGGGGTGTAGAGATTGTAACGAGGTCAGCCAGGTGAATCTCATAGAATACGAGTTCCCTGATTGAGGCTGATAATCTGGTCCAATCAGGGAGTCATGGCTGATATATATAACTATCAGTGTCAGGGATTCAGTTCCCTCTCGGAGCCAGCTCTGTGCTAGCTGGGTCAGTGTTATGTACTATGCATATGTAAATAAAGGGTGACTTGGTGATGGGATACCGGCATTTGCAAAGTTATTTCAAGAGGAGTTCTGGGCAATTGGATGGCTGGGGGCTATGTGTTGTAACGTTAGTGCAGCCTTTTTGATTGGTTTCTATACTCGCCCATGGTGTCTTGCACAAGAATGCCCAAATTTCCTTGCACCCCCATTTCTTTTCCTAGCTTTTCACCATTTAGCAAGTACTCTGATTGGTTCCAAGTCCAAAACAGCTGATCACACATTTGCCTGTAGTGAAATTTCAAGCCTTTGGTTGGACAAAGCGGCTCACTATTGTTCACATGGGGGTGAGGTCTTTAAAATCTTGCAAGGCTTGGTTAGGATAAACACAGAGAAAATGTTCCCAACCATGTGCAGAACTAACAGTGGGGGGGTTATGAATATAAGGCTGTTGCCTTAATTAAATCCAATAGTAAATTTGGGAGAAACTGTGTTAGTCCTACAGTGAATTTCAAACTGCATGCAGAGTAGTTGAGGCAATTCACATAGATGCTTTTAAAGCATAACTGTAAAGATACAAGAGAGAAAAGAATAGAATATGCAGATAGCATTGAATGAATGGACTGAATGGCCTATTTCTGTTTTACTTTCTACATAATTCTGTATTCTCTTTGCAAATGTGCTAAGCCAAACACTTCTACTGCTGTTTTTGCTCCAATTTTATCAAAACCTAAATCAGTTCCCCTGAACTTTTTTTATGATTACAACAGAATCTCCGTTGGAGGCTGTTTTGGAAAGATGGCTGACATAGAAGCTTTACCTGAGCAGGTACTGCTCAAAATCCTCTCCTACATCCCTGCAAGAGAGTTGGTTTTGATCTGTAGACTAGTTTGCCAACAGTGGAAGATGCTTGTGGATGGACTAGACCTACAAGTTCACGATGAAAGGTCACTGAAGCAAAAGGAAGACATAACAGAAGAAGATGCATTTTACTTTTGTACATCCGCAAAAGAAAATTTAATCAAGAACCCATGTGGAGAAGGTTTGTTCCAGAAATATATGGTTATGTGCGTTAGGCCGAAGAATATTTGTGTTCTCTTGAAGTCTGTGTATGCAATGTTTAGGCATTGGCATATCAAGGGACCCATAGGGACATTAGGAACAGGATAGAAGCCATTCAGCCCCTTGAGTCTACTCCATCGTTTACTTAATTAGATTATGGCTGATCTGCAATTCAACTACTTTCTCATGCCTTAGCTAGAGATTGTTTGTTTGAATTTCTCACATACCAAATAAGTTTTTTCATTGAAAACTCCATTTTTAAAAATGTATTCTTTCATGGGATATGGGCATCGCTAACTGATTGGCTCGCTAGACCATTTAAAAGTCACATCATTGGAGTCACATGTAGGCCTGACCAGTTAAGGGTGGCACCTTTCCTTCCCTTATGGGCATTAGCGAACCTGGTCTCAGTAAAATCACCGTTAAACTATCAACTCTCTAAACTTCACTGTGATGGTGTGTGACCCCTTACCTCTAGAACATTTGCCTGGCCTGACGACAATAATCCAACTGTAATACCACTCATCTCCAATTACTATGGCAACCACAGCCATTTGAGAATCCACACAACTCTTTGTGCAAAGAAAAAGGTGTTTCTTGATTTCCCTCTTAAACGCCTTGCTTCTATTTTTAAGATTGGATTCTTGTACTCTCCATTTCCTCGCTAGAGGAACTGGAACATCGGCTTTATTGAATCCTTTGATCGTTTTAACACTTCAGTCAAATCGATCGTTAATTGCTCCCTTAGTTATCCAATCTGTTCAGCAAGGGGCTGAGGCCAAGAAATAGGCGTCTACATGGGCAAAGAATTTCACAAACTCCACGCAGCGAAGTACATTTGAAGCGTAACCTAGGAGACATGGTGGTCAAATTGTACACAGCAAGCTCTCAAAGATAGCAATGAGACACGTGGCCAATGAATCTGTTTTAATGATGTTGATTGAGGAATACAAATTGGTCAGGAATCCAGGAACTATATTTTATGCTCCTCACCATCAGGTTGTTGGGGGGCAGCATATAAAATCTAACAGGTGACCTTCCTACCACCTTATTGCCTCTTTCTGATCGATGTGAAATTTTATGGGGGATGGGGAGACCTATTTGCCTTCGGGACCTTAATGATCACCAAATGGTCTCATCTTGTTGGTATTTTACCCGACTTGGGCGAGGAGCCTGCACATGCTCATATCAGGCAAGTTGGGCAGACCTTCCTTTGGAGGACCTGATGCTCCTCAGTGGGACCCCTGATCAGAGTCACCTCCACTTCCCTAATGATCCCTACCCCCCCACCATCACCCCCACCCTGGGAGTCTTAAACCCAGCCCCAAAAGTCCTCCAAACCAGACTAACCTGCAATTCTAAAAATGGCCATTGCTTCCAGCTGGCGCTGTTGACAGTGCAGAATTGCTGGCTGTGTAATTGGTCAGTAGAAGCTGACTGATTACGCTCTTAGGCAGAATCCCCTGCTGAGACTGAAACCATTAACACTGCTCCCCATGACTTTCTGAAGAAGGGTCCAGACCCGAAACATTAGCTTTCCTGCTGCTCTGATGCTGCTTGGTCTGCTGTGTTCATCCAGCTCCACACCTTGTTATCCCCATGTTAACTTGCTGCAGAGTAGCAACCACTGCCCCTAACTGTTCCCCATAATGGGTTGGCTGTGCTGAAAACAGCTCATATGATGACAGAAAATAGTGTGCACAAAAATGACCCTGAGCTTCCAGGCTCTTGTCACTTCAACACACCACCATGTTTCCTGGCCAACATCTTCGTTCTCAGGAACAAAAACAAAGTTGGTGGAAAAGCTCAGCAGGTCTGGCAGCATCTGTGGAGGAGAAAACAGAGTTAATGTTTCGGGTCCGGTGACCCTTCCTCAGAACTGATGGTGGCTGGGAAAACGTCAGTTTATATGCAGAACATAGGGAGGTGGGTGGGGTAGGGAGTAAACGATAGGATAGAGCCCAAAGAGAGAGAAAGACAGTTGGACAGACAAAGGAGTTGCTAATGATCAGGCTGGGAGGGTGAGTGACTAACAACGGGGCGTGTGTAGTGGCAGGCTATGTGGTAACAACTCCTTTGTCTGTCCAACTGTCTTTCTCTCTCTTTGGGCTCTATCCTATCATTTACTCCCTACCCCACCCACCTCCCTATTTTCTGCATATAAACTGACGTTTTCCCAGCCACCATCATTTCTGAGGAAGGGTCACCGGACCTGAAACGTTAACTCTGTTTTCTCCTCCACAGATGCTGCCAGACCTGCTGAGCTTTTCCACCAACTTTGTTTTTGTTCCTGATTTACAGCATCCGCAGTTCTTTCGGTTTTTACCTTTGTTCTCAGGCTTGCTGCAGTGCTCCAGCGAGGGTCCGCACAAGCTGGAAGAACAGAATCGCTTTTTCCACCTAGTGACCCTGCAGCCTTCAATATCGAGTTCAGTAATGTTAGGGCCTGAGCACGTTCTTCCATATGCCTAACCCACCCCCAAAACCCATGGCCCTGTCATCACATGGGCTGCTTTTAGCACAGCCAACCCATTCTCACCTACTCAAAGTCCCATTATTAGCTTTTCTTTCTCCCTGGCTCACCATTATCCATCCCTTTGTCTGCCTAAGTGTGGCATTCTACCCCTCTGCACTTTATCTTCAGCGTATATACCACCTTTGCCTGACTGAATGTGAAAAATTGGCTGGCAAAGCAAATCAACTGGGATGATTATTATATCTCCTTAAATGGAAATAGATGTGTATTGGAAATACTCATCCTCCTCAAAATGTACATCCTTATAAATGTCAAGGTTACATTTAAACTGTCTGAGCGATGGTTCGGGTAACAATTTGCAATTTCCAATTTTGACAGAGGAATTTGCCTTCTGGGAACTCACAAATAATGACGGAGATGGATGGAAGGTGGAAGATCTTCCGGGAGACAATGGAAAGCCCTTTCCGAATCAAAAGATCCAGAAATATTTTGTTACATCTTTCGAGTAAGAATTCCCATCAGCACCTTTTTGATTTGTCCTGTCACCTGGGTCCAGCCCCAGTGTTCCCTCTGATTTTCTTAGTGGCTGCCTAGGCCTGTAAGATCAATCCATGACAATGCGTTCTGGCAGCAGAATTCAATGCCGTGATTAGCATGCTGACTCCAATTGTTGTACGCAGAACATTAGAGCGGCTGTGCACTCATGGGGCTGTGCAGTTTGCTGGGAATGCTGGGACATGAGCTCAATGGGCTGAATGGTCTCTCTCTGAGTTGTGAGACTTCATTGTGCTAGACACCTCTAAGCCAGCAGAAAGGGAGGACTGGTACCAGGGGTGAGGCTAATGCCGTCCCCATTTGATCAGTGTCATAGGAACAGGAATAGGCCATTCAGCCCATCAAAACCTGCCTCGCTATTCAATACAATTGTGGCTGCTCGAACATTTCACCTTTGAATTTGTGGTCGCTGTGTGGGACAATCAAACAGAAATGCATGGATGAAGCATGAATGAGTTCAAGCTCAGTCTTTATCAGGTGCAAGCAACTGTTTTACTAACAGCAAGAGTACGGAAGTTCCAATACGAGTTGTTAAAAGCTGAGTTCAGTTGTTGCATTTTCTCTCAATTAAGGTGGTGCCAAAAATCTCAACTAATTAATCTGGTCTTGGAAGGATTTGAGGCAGAGACACTGGATAACATTCAACCTCCTATCACAGTGCGAGACTGGTAAGCTGGGAAGCACACTGTCTTTCAGTCAGTTAGAATGCACAATACCCACTGAGTAGAAGATTAATGGCAGATACTGTGATAGTAGGAACTGCAGATGCTGGAGAATCCGAGACAACAAGGTGTAGAGCTGGATGAACACAGCAGGCCAAGCAGC